GAGGCCGCGCCCCGCCCCGCGCGCCGGGGGAGGGAGCTGGGGCCGCAGGTGCACCCGGCGCCGCTGCCCGTCTCCGGGTCGGGTACCGGTATAATCCGCTTCTAGCTTGTTTGGAAGCGTGGACTCTTGGGAGCGGGACTTCTGCGCGAATCTTGTCGGGGGCTTGGAAAGCAGGAAAATTAGGGTGCCTGCCGGGAAAACCGTCACCACTGCTTACTGGAGGGTTGATGGGGGACTTTCTCTTTTCTGTCCCCCCCTTTAGTTGGGGTATCCCTAGCCGTTAAAGAAATGAGATTTTAAATTTTCAAATTTTTTTTTTTAAAGCCATTTGCAGTGAAGAAGAATTGCTCCGGGTCGAGGGGAGGTGAGGTAGGTCCCTGCTGGATAGAAGAGGCGGCAGTGAGGGCCCAGCAGTTGGGGCGTGTGGCCGAAAGCGGGAGGTAGGACTGGGGAAGGAGAACGCCGGCGCGGAGAGGAGGGAGGGTGTCCGGAGCTAGGCAAAGATGGGGAGCAGGATGGCGGAGCCCCAGCTAGTGGGGGCCCAGCTTGAGTCACTCAGCCTCATGCTCGGCTCCTGGTGCTTCTCAGATTTTCCTCCTCTTTGACTTCGGAAAATATTTTTTATTAGGCAGGAAAGCTCTGAGGACATATTTTGAGAGAAACGTAGAAGTAAAGAGCTGACTTCTGGAAACTTTTCTTGGCAGCTTTAAAAATAAAATTCCGTTCAGGCAGCATTTATTGAGCACTTACAGCATGATCTGTGTCGGACATTGAAAGAATCCGGACAGGGAGGGAATTCCCATCTACAGTAATGGTGAGGACTGTTTGCTTGTCCACAACCCATGGACAAGAACGACAGTGACTGAGACCTTTCTCCCCAAACGTTTCTGGGCCTCAGATCTTGCAGACTGTGGGAGAAATCCAGCACCATAAAGGTAAACCGCGTGTGCAGCCGGCTTTTATTTTTACAATCCATAAATCCCCTCCAAGCACCCCCTCAGCTAGGACAGGGTTAGACTTCTTGCTTCTGTCTTGACACTAGTTGACCGAAACACTGTTGAAATCCTAGTGTGAGATGGGAGACCGTTACACTTAAGTGATAAAAATAAGGGCTTGGGAAAGTTGATTGGGAGTGTTTGGCTTCTGCGTGTTCCTTAGGGGAGCCCTCTGTAAAATGATTAGGTAATCCTTGGAGCTGGGCAGAAAAATACCAGCACCTTGAATTGGCGTGGTTTAGTTATATATTTAAACATCTTTATCTTAGATTTGTCTTGTTTTTATTGAGGGTGTGTAGTTTGTTGATTAAAATTGAGCGGATTAGAAGGTTGAAAAGTGTCCCCAGATGACCCCTCTCCCCTCCCCCACCTCCTCCAGTGCCACACGAAGTACTGTATGATGCAACAAAGTATTTAGCCATGTTCATATCTTCTTCTCTTTGCTGTTTTTTCAGCATTAAAAAAAAACTGGGGAAAACGTGGCCTTTCTCCCCCACTTAAGTTTTATGTCATGTAGAGCATTTTAAAATTTATTTTAAATAATTCTGGTATCTTTCTCATATCCAAATAGTTAAGTTGTTTTGGTAGCTCTGTTTTTGGAAATCAGACTTGAAATTTTGTGAAAACTTGGTGTTCGTGAACACACATTTCTTTTTCTTTTCTTTTGTTTTTTGAGACAGGGTCTTGAAGTGTAGTTCAGGCTGTCCTTGACTCACGGTGTAGCTTAGGCTGGCCCTGAACTCTTGGCCTCAGCCTTTCAAGTGCAGAGACTGCAGGTATGCACCTCCACATCCGGCTACACATGTTTTCTTGAACTGTAGTTTGTAAGAGATTTCACTTCTGTTTAACTGGAGCTGATGTTTGACATTCGGAAAAAAACAAACCGAAACAAAACCGTTAATATTTATTGCCCTACCAGCAGTGAGCAGGGAACTGGGGTGTGTGCTGTGGGATTTTAACAGGAAGGAGAGGATCCTTGGAATCACAGAGAAAAGATAAGATGAAAGGGGGTGGGGAGGACACCAGCAATTACAGTTGTTCCACGGTGCAGGGGTGGGGGTGTGTGTGTGTTTGGAGTCAGGTGAAAATGTGTGGGGTGGGGCACAACTCTTAAACTGACTTGAGAGTGATTAGGGTTGTGATTGCCTCGAAGGAGCACATATTAAGGGAAAGTTTGAGATGTGTCATAGGTTGAAAGCAGTCAACACCTCACCTGACTAGAGCAGTGTGACTAAGCTAGTTAGAGGAAAACTTACCCATGAGTTAGTGACAGTAATAATTTTCCTTAAGATCAGTGGCTGTCGGTCGGGTGGTTTTGCATCCCCCTAGACATTTGGCAGATACCTGGGGAATTTTTGTTTGTAATAGGAAGGGGCAGGTGTTACTGACTTCTAGTGGGTAGACGCCAAGGATGCTATTTAAATTCTTTCACTGTACAGGTTGCCTCCACCCCTAAAGAATATTCCTGTCCAAAATATCAACAGTGCGAAGGTTGAGAAACTGCCCGGAGCGTGAATGTGAATGCCACCGTGGCATTCTGAGAAGGGAAGTTGCATCTCAGAATGGACCTCAGGGAAGTAGTTCTCAGTGTGTGAAGAGGAGGAGCATTGGGGTTAGGGAGCCAGCCTGGGAGCCTTGTGCTGTGCAGACCCTAACTGGAAGAAAGGGGCAGTTTTGAGAGAGGTTGTGGCAGATAGGCTGTCAGGGCAGTGTAACATTGGGTTAAGAGGGGAGTCAAGAATCAGAACAGGAATTTTAGAGAGGCCTAATCTAACTTGTGTAGTCAGTTCTTAACTTGCTGGGGAGCTTCTGTTCAAGTACCCCAGTAACAAGGGACTGTGCTATGCAGACGTTCCATTAAGCCCTTGGGCTTTGTGTAGTTCTGTCATTTGAGCTGAAGTCTGCCTGATGGCAACTCTGTTCGGTTGATTCCGTTGCTCTGGAGCTGCCCACTGCCATAGGAGAGCCTGACCAATGCACAAAGGACGAGCCCCACCCCGCATCCCAAGTAACTTCTCTAATATTAAATAGCCCCAGTCCTTCATGGAACCTACTTTCCATGTGTCCTCGCGGAGAGTCGGGAACTGAACATGGTGATGGAGACACGATTAGCTAACAAAGTGTGTGATGGCGCAGCAGTTTGCTGAGACCTAGGCACAAATGTCAACTTACTGCAGCTTAAATTTATAGTTGCCTTTTTATTTTTCAAGCAGCTCCTCCTGCAGAGTCAAGAGTAAGTTATAGATAGTCCAAACGCCCAGATATTTCTTGTATGAACTGCCTCATCCTGTATTCCTTTGTTTTTTTCTTTTAGAAGTTGAGTGGAAGTTTTTTGTTATTTCTTTTGATTGTTTTTGGTGATAATGGGGATTGGAATTTGGGGTCTTTGCATGAGCTGCATCCCCAGCCTCTCCCCCCTCCCC